GATTGAGCGCAACGTGGTGACGGACAAGACGACGGTCCTCGTTCTTTCGGACACGGGTCAGCGGCAGGCCGTGATGAAACTGGTGGCCGAGTCGAAGCGGGAGGCGCTGCTGTCGGAGGAACGCGTCACGTTCATCAACAAGCCGGTCAAGCCGTCCCGTTTTGCCGTCATCTTTGACCCCGAGAAGGTGCTCGACTCGAGCATCGACCGCAACCGGTCGACGGCGCAGCGCATGGTGGAGAGCCAAAAGGCCAGCTACGAGGAGATCGGGAAGCGCATGGGCAACAAGGGGTACAAGGTGCTTCTCGTCGAGGACAACTCGGTCAACCAGAAGGTGCTGCAGAAGTACCTCAAAAAGGTCGGCGTCGAGGTCGAGGTGGCGGCGGACGGCGTCGAGTGCACGGATATGGTGCTGGCGCGGGGCCACGAGTACTACTCTCTCATTCTGGTTCGTTCTTCCTGCCCTGGTTCTCTCTCTCTCTCTCTCTCTCTCTCTCTCTCGCTCGCTCTCTTTACTGACCGTCGTGACAGTGCGATCTCCACATGCCGCGCAAAGACGGCTACCAGGCGTGCCGCGAGATTCGAGAGTGGGAAGTCAACAATCGGCTGGCGCGCATGCCCATCATTGCCCTGTCGGCCAACGTCATGTCGGACGTGCAGGACAAGTGCGTGGCAGCCGGGTTCAGCGACTACGTCACCAAGCCGGTGGACTTTATCAGCCTCAGCAGAGCTATGAGCAAGTTCTTCTGAGCTTGTTGGGACGATGACATTTTTTTTTTCCTGTTCATTTTGCCGCGACTTTGATTCGGTTCGCATGGCAAGCGGGTGGGCACGCGCGTTTCCTGTTCGCCATTCGGCATCACTTTATGCATGGAGGGAGAGGGTAGGGAGGGGGCAGGGAGGCGGAAGAGCTGAAAGAGTCCAAGGCCGATGGGTCGAGGTTACATGATCAAACGTACGGGATACGGGGGCGGGGGCATTGGGACGTGGGATAAGGAGGGTCAAACAAGGGCGTACGGCGTTGTTCACTTTTCATGCCTCTTCGCCTGTTTCATTTCTGGGGGTTTCTTTCTTTCTCTCTGTTGCTTTTTCTGATAATTCCAGGTCTGTTGGCCTCTGGCTTCTGTACACGAGAGCAGAGTTCCAGGGGGCAGGCGGATCCTTGGGTGTACTAATGCGTATGAGGAGGGAAGGGGGGAGAAAGGGCCCAGGCATGTGGGCAGCGTCCAGGGCGGATGGGGGGGGGGGCTAGAGAGGCACGTGGAACGTGGAACATGGCATGATTAGAATAGTGGCAAAAAATACCCATCCGGTTTCTGCGCGCGCTGCTTCTCTTCGGTATCGTGATGATGGGGGGTCAGGTAATGGGAGTTCGAGTTGGTGGTGATCGGATTTCGCGAGTAGCCGGCAGAGAGATGTGTCCAGCCCACAGCATGGAGATGGGCTTCGTTCTGGGTCGATCCCTGAATTCCTTTGCTTCAGGGAAGTGCATAGGGAGTCGTAGTCTTGGTCATTGTGAACGTCGACATGATGCTATGAAGTTTACTTGGAGGCTCTCTTAGGCACCTCACCTGTGGAGTAGGGGTTTCCAGCGGGCATTGCGGTGTATAGCAGCCTGATGAACTACATGTACACTGACAACGGGCCCTGTCAGTACCTAGGTACCTACCTAAGGTACCAGCCCCAGTGGGTGGCTGCCCTCTGGCAGAGCGAGAAGGAGGCGTCGGGTGAGGCGGCGCCACAGCGGGGATGGCTCCTGCCTGCCGCTGTGCCTGTGCGTGTGCCTGGGCAATGAGCCCGTCGTGTGCCGCTTGCCCGCTGTAACTTTTGCTGTGAACGCACCATCCGTGGTCTCACGGGCTGTTCGGCAAGGCCTCTCTTGGCCTTCGACGCTGGGCCCCTTTCTCCTACGCAGGGCTGGCGGCCGTGGAGAGCCATTCAAACCGCCCATGGTTGGGAAGATACCAAAGACCTTTTCACCTGCCTATCTGATGCTGGGTCTCCGGGCCCTGGTCGCTGGCCCGAGGGGGGGTCCGTCGCGTCATCCAGTGGGCGGATGGGGTTGGATGATTAGCTTGCACGCTTGCACGCTTGCACGCTTGCACTCGGAGGGACAGGGCGGGGGCGATCCCTGGAGAATCAAGGTTGAGGTGGCTTCGAGTAAGCTTCTTTTCTTCCCGCGCCCATCCTGTCCGAAAGCGATATCCCGTACTGATCTTATCGGGCGTCGTCACGACCGTGCGCGCGCGCGCTGCATCCGAGGAACCTGTGGCCGCTGGAGAATGCCATGGACACGAATTGTCTCTACGATGACTTGGCAGACGCGATACCAGCCATACCCAAGGACAGGATCATTGACACTCGGCGTGAGCGTCCAAGCCTTCATCCGGACCATTCTAACCCCCCCCCCAGCCCTTGGCCATGGCCCGCCGACGACCCCTCCCGAACGTCGACCTTCCCGATGTAGCAACTGCCATGACAAGCCCTGCCGATCCGCACGCCGCCGCGGTGGAACGCCACCAGGGGAGGCGACAAAACATTTCATTCACCGAGGGGAACCGAATCGAGTGTAACCTTGCTTTGTGGAGGGAAGAGAGAGAGAGAGAGAGAGTGCACGCAAGAGAAATCATTGATAAATAACATGACTCCCCCCCCGCCGCAACCCGTTGCCATGCCTCTGGGTCAGGTCTAGCGAACACTGCCATTCCTGTCGATCCGTCCCGCCGACGGCTTCTCACACACACACACTTCGGTCCCTCGCCCGCAGCCATGAAGTTCTCCCACACCGCGGCAGCCCTGCTGTCGCTGGCTTCTGTCACTGCCGCCGCGCAGTGCAAGCCCAAGATTGAGTCCGAGGCGTTCCAGGCCGAGATCAAGACGGAGAAGTGCGTGCGCCCCCGTCCGCCTAGCCATGGTGCTACCATGTTGGTCTCATACTGACGTTCTGCAGCCTTTGGTCTCACCTCGTCGCCCTCAACGACATTGCCTTCAAGGTCGGCGGCGGCAACCGTGCCTTTGGCCTTCCCGGCTATGCTGCCTCGGTCGACTACATCTGGTCGCACATCTCCAACGTGACGGCGACCAAGGCCTGGAAGCAAGATTTCCCCGCCTGGTTCGGCATTGTCAACTCCATTTCCTTTTCTGTGGACGACAAGGACTACTACATCTACGGCATCTCGTACTCTCCCTCGACCCCGAAGGAGGGCATCACGTCCGAGATTGTCCTCGGTCCCGCCGGTGCCGCCGGCTGCGATGCCAAGAACTACGAGGGCCTCGACGTCAAGGGCAAGATTGTCCTGACGCAGCGCTTCCGCTGCCCCACGGGCGGCACCCTCGCCGGCCGCGTGCGCCCTGCTGCGGCGGCCGGGGCTGCGGGCGTCATCATCTACCACGACATCGAGACGCTGCCCACGGCCGGCTCGCTTGGCGAGGTCAACATGAGCGCCTACGTGTCGACGGGCTTCATCCGCAAGGCCGACGGCGAGGCGCTCGTGGCGCGCATCCAGGCTGGCGAGAAGGTCGTCGGCTTCTTCCAGCACGACCAGCTCGTCGAGGAGCGCATCACGCAGAACGTCTTTGTCGAGACGGAGGAGGGCGACCCGCACAACGTCATTGTGCTCGGCGCCCACCTCGACTCGGTGCAGGCGGGCCCCGGCATCAACGACGACGCGTCGGGCTCGAGCCTGATCCTCGAGGTGTTCAAGGCGCTGCAGAAGTACCGGTTCAAGAACAAGGTGCGGTTCGCGTGGTGGGGCGCCGAGGAGAACGGCCTGCTGGGCTCGCGGTTCTACACGCAGAGCCTCGAGGCGCCCGAGGTCGACGACATCCTGGCCTACCTCAACTTTGACATGGTGTCCAAGGGCTACTTTGGCGTCAGCGACAACGACGGCAGCACGCACGGGTCGGTGGCGCCGCGCGGCTCGGAGACGATTGAGGCCATCTACGTCGACTGGTTCGAGAGCCAGGGCCACGTCGTGACGCCGGCCGTGCTCACCAACGGCAGCGACTACGCCTCCTTCTGGCAGGTCCTCGGCAAGCCCTTTGGCTTCCTCAACACGGGCACCGGCGTCGCCCAGGACCCGTGCTACCACCAGGCCTGCGACACGATTGACAACCCCGACCGCGAGACCATCACCGTCAACGCCAAGGCCGCCGCCCACATGCTGTCGATCCTGGCGGTGAACGGCACCGAGATGATTCCCAAGCAGACCGTCAACGCCACCATGCTCAACGACCTCCGCGCGCGCCACGTCGGGCCCGAGGTCATTGACATTGCCGAGCTCGAGGCGCTCGGCGAGAGGCATCTCGGCTGCGGTCACGATCTGTGAGCGAGGTGGCCCGAGGCGGAGAGGGGCGTCAGAGAAGCCACAGCATCTAGGTGTAGCATAGGCCGTTGTCGTTGGTGTTGCATGGGCGTTGTCGTTGGTGTTGCACGGGCGTTGTCGTTGGTGTTGCACGGGCGTTGTCGTTGGTGTTGCATGGGCGTTGTCGTTTGGTGTAGCATAGGCATGGCGAATGAGAGATGATGATGTTGATGACCGAAGATGCCCAACTGAAAACATGCGCTGTCAGGGTTGTTCGTCCCAATGGTTGACTGCGTGTACGTCCTACGAGAAAGCTGGAGCCAGGTCGCATCGAGATAGGAACAGGGCCAAGCCGACCCATCATTTTGACTGGGTCTTTACTGGACCTCAGCAGCGCAATGGATTCTGATGGAACGTCGCTGGAGTTTCGCTGAGGAAGGATCGACAACCCCCTCCATGGCGGTTGCGACTGCCTTGTTTCCCATTGCATTGCCCCTCACTTCTCCACGTGATCACGGCAATCCACCACGTCTGAACAAAAGCACAACGAAGACGAGCTTCATCTTGCAAGTCATCTGGCTGTCGAGACTCTCCTTGTATTTCATCTGCATCTCCAGCGCGACATCAACTCTTGTCGACCCACTCATCTCACCTCATCCCCCTCCGAAGACAAAACACCCCGCCCGCCCGTACACGATGGCAGACGCAACCCCCTACCCCCGCCCCGATCACCACCGTCCCAACCTCCGGTGGCAGTCCCTCAACGGACCATGGTCGTTCCTCTTTGACGATGACGACGTCGGCCTCACCCAGACATGGCACAAGACCGGTCTGCCTGCGTCCGTCGCGCTGAGCGCCCCGGCCGCCGCGGCCCAGACCAAATCGGCGACGGCGGCCGAGGGCGACTCCATCACCCAGCGCATCGCCGCCGGCACCCAGGACCTGCTGGCCAACAACGTCTTTGCCCGCGCCGACGCCCAGACGCACGAGAAGCGCACCATCACCGTGCCCTTTGCCTTCCAGACGCCGGCGTCGGGCATCAACGACAGGGGCGTCCACGAGGTGCTGTGGTACGAGCGCGCCGTCGCCGACCCGCGCACGGCCGAAGACCGGGCCGCGGGCCAGAGGGTCCTGCTGCGGTTCGGCGCCGTGGACTACGAGGCCACCGTGTGGATTGACGGCCACTTTGTCGGCGGCCACCGCGGCGGACATGTGCCCTTTGCGCTGGATGTCTCGGACGCGCTGCGGGAGGGCGGCCCTCGCCGGCTTACGGTTCGCGTGTTTGACTCGGCATACGACCTGACGCAGCCGCGTGGCAAGCAGTATTGGGGCCCCAAGCCGGAGAGCATCTTCTACACGCCGTCCGGGGGCATCTGGCAGTCTGTCTGGGTTGAGGTTGTGCCGCCGGCGCGCATTGCTGATAGCAGTGCTGGGACTGTGATTCGGTCGAATGACATTGAGACGGGGACGCTGCGGAGCAATGTGACGGTCCTCGGTCGTCGTGTCGGGCAGGCGCTCGAGGTCGAGATGGAGGCCAGTCTTGCCGGTGTGCCTGTTGCGACGTCAGAGCGCAGGGCCCTTTCGAAGGAGTCGAATGCCGTCGCTGTCGAGCTGGACCTTCGTCTGTCAGAGGCGAAACGCAAGCAACTGCCGCCCGCTTTCCTTGTTGGGGCGCCCTTCGAGGATGGTGCTGCCTGGCGCGAGGGCCTCGCTCTCTGGTCGCCGGAGCACCCTTCCCTCTACGACCTCACTCTCCGCCTGTACGACTCTGCCGGTGCGGTTCTCGACGAAGTCGCCACCACGACGGGCATGCGGTCCATCGCGTGGGCACAGAACGACGGCCACTGGCGGCTCAACGGACGGCCGTACTTCCAGGCGCTGTGTCTCGACCAGGGCTACTGGCCCGAGACGCTCATGACGCCGCCTTCACAGGAGAGCCTCAAGGAGGACATCTTGCTGGCGAAGCGCATGGGGCTCAACGGGTGTCGCAAGCACCAAAAGGTCGAGGACCCCGTCTTCTACTACTGGGCCGATCGCCTGGGCTACCTGGTCTGGGGCGAGATGGCCAATGCCTACCAGTTCAGCGCTGCGTACATGGAACGGTTCGACGAAGAGTGGGCCGCGAGCGTGCGGCTGGCGGTCAACCACCCTTCCGTCGTGACGTGGACGCCCGTCAACGAGAGCTGGGGATACCCGTCGCTCAAGGACAGCACGGAGCAGCGGGACCACATCCGCTCGCTGTACTACCTCACCAAGACGCTGGACCCGACGAGAAGCATCAACGATAACTGCGGCTGGGAGCACGTCATGACGGATCTCACGACCTTTCACGACTACGCCGACGGGCCGCAGCTCGCCGCGAATTGCGCGACCATGGACAAGATCCTCGACACCAAGGCCGGGCGCGCCATGTTTGTGCCGGCCGTCGCCGGTGACGCCGGCTCCCAACACAAGCAGGGTGCGCCCGTCATGTGCACCGAGTTTGGCGGCGTCAACATTGCGGCGGCCAAGGGCAAGGAGGGCGACGACAGGGACTGGGGGTACACGACGGCGGCCGATCCGGAGGACTTGCTCAAGAGAATTGAGAGGCTCGTGCGGGGCGTGGTCGAAGGGGGCCACTGCTGCGCGTTTGTGTACACGCAGCTCGCTGACATTGAGCAGGAGACGAATGGGCTCTACACGTTTGACCGCAAGGAAAAGCTCGACGCCGCGAAGGTCAAGGCGCTCATTGAAGAGGCGCTGAAGGCGTTCTATGCGAGGGTCGAGGGGCAGTAAGTGCTCGGTGTACATCAAGATGTGCAAATATAGATGCACATTCGGGGTCGAGGCGACTGTTGACAGACGTAGATGATGATGAATCGATTGGAAGAAGCAGACGCGTCTGTCAACTCCGCATGAACGACACAGACGATGAGCAGTAGAACGAGCATCCCATAGACGAATCACGTTCCCTCCAGACAGGGATCACTCTTAACATTAGACATTCATTATCATGAGGATACACAGCGCAATCCCCTTTTCCTCTGCCCCCCCCCGCCCCTTACGCATCCGCCTCGAGCAGAACGCGCTTGCACTTGCTGCTGAGGTATTTCAGCACAAACGGCACGCTCTCGACGACGACCCAGTCATCCTTGTCGTCGCGGTCGCCGTGGATGCGCAGCGCGCTAGCGACAAACTTGTAGGCGCCCTCGGGCGCGACGGTGCCGTCGGCGAGGCGGCCGTCAAAGTTGTGCGTGTACCCGATCGTAGGGGCATAGTGGATGGGCGTCCGCGGAAGGCTGCCGAGTGTCGTGTAGCCGAGCCAGGCCTTGGTCGTGCCGTTGCCGCTGTCGCTGCCGCTGCCGTCGAGGGGCACGAGGTCGACGTGCAGCTCTGGGGTGCCGATCGTGGGGATGGCGACCAGCTTGGGCAGCACGGAGGGGGCCCAGGTGCCGCCGGGGCGGGGGATGGTGAAGGTGCGGTTCGCGGCGACGGGGATCAGGAAGTGCGTCTCGGTCGAGGAGAGGTAGACGCCCGTGTGGGGGACGCTCTGGTTGTGGAGGGGGTTGAAGTCGTGGAGGCTGCCGGCGAGGCCGACGTACGGCAGCGTCAGACGGCCGGCGCCCGGGGACGAGGGCGTGATGGTGATGTAGCCGCTGTAGACGGGGAGGCGGCCGGCGTCGAGTCCGGCGGGAGGCGTCAGCGTGAAGGTGACCTTGGCCGAGGCGCCGGCCGGGACGGTCACGGTCTCGCTCTCAAAGGCGATCGAGGCCCAGACGTCGGCCGTCGGCGGCGGGAAGCGGGCGATGGTGAGCAGGTTGTCGGCGGCGAAGCTGTAGGCGGTGGCGGCCTTGGCGTGGCCGAACGTGTAGGTGACGGCCTCGGCGGCCGTGTTCTCGAGCGTGAAGGTGCGCTTGGGCGTAAAGCTGTCCGTGTCGTTGAAGGAGAAGCCGCTGGTGTCGACGAGGGTCGTGGCGTGGGCGGCGTCGTAGGCCTGCACCAGGCCGGCGCCCTGCTGGGCCACGGGCGCGAGCACGTCGTCGTGCGTCGTCTCGCCGTCGAACCAGGGCAGCGGCTTGGCCGTGCTGGAGAGCACGTTGCGGAGGACCTGCGCGTTGAGCGTCTTGCGCGCCTGGCCGACGAGGCCGTAGATGGCGGCCACGAGCGGCGCCGACATGGACGTGCCCGGGTTCACGGCGTAGTCGCCCGCGCCCCAGGTCCACGTCGACAGGATGCCGCCGCCGGGCGCCGTGAACTGCGGCTTCAGCACCATCTCCCACGAGGGACCCCAGCTGGTGAAGCCGCTCGTCAGGCCGGCGCCGGGCCCGTTGCTGAGGTCCTCGGCCCAGACGCGCGCCGACTCGACGGGGCTCACAGTCACGTCGATCCGCTGGCCGGCCCCCAAGGCCTTGAGCCACGCGGCAGCCTGGGCAGGGGAGACGACAAAGACGCCCTCGATGCCTTCGGTGTACACGTAGGTGGCCGCCAGGCGCGCATCGCTCTCGGGGTAGTAGATGATGTGCTTGCCGCCCTTGGTGACAAAGTTGGCGGCCTGGTCATCTGAGCTGCATTCGGTGGTAAGGGGGAGTAGAACGGCGAGGCCGTCGAGATCAGGCAAGTCGGCGGGCACAGAGGTGCAGGCATACGCCGTCAGGTCGCTGGCGTTGGCGGCGGGCGCCCAGATACGCACCGTCGCATTGGTCTGGAGGACGGGGTTCCCCTGGAGCCAGCCGAAGCCGTGGGAGCCGGTGCCGTTGGAGAAGTCACCCCTCGTCATGATGGTCGGCAGCTTGGTGTTCTCGACGGAGCCGATGGCGGCGACCTCCCTGCCCGAGGCCGGAGACGCCGCGTTCCACAGGCCGAGACCGCCTGAGTTGCCGGTGGCCACGATGACGGGCACGCCGGCGGCGGCGAGACGAGATACGGCGTCGGCAGCGGCGTCGCTCGAGAATCCAGAGTCGTCACCGGCCGAAAGAGAAATGATATCGGCCCCCTCGTCATAGGCGCGGTAGATGCCGGCCACGAGAACCTCGCTCGTCGCGTAGCCAGCGCACCCGCTCGTCTTGTAGACACCGAGCGTCACGTCGGGTGCCGCACCCGTGAAGCCGAGCTCGTTCTCCTGGGCTGCCACAATGCCGCTGACGTGCGTGCCGTGGCCCTGGCATGTGTCGATGGGGTCATCGTCGGGCTTGAGGTTGCCGCCTTCGTCAAACTCGTCGCCCGCATAGTCCCACCCCTTGGTCACGAGGCAGCCCTCACGGCCAAAGCAACCATTGCCGAGCGCAGGGTGTCGGTAGTCGATGCCCGTGTCGACAACGCCAATGTGCAGACCCTTGCCCGTGAAGCCCTCGGCGCGCAGCTTGTCAACCTGCGTCATGAGGTGCGGCGTGTAGACGTCGCCGTCGCCGAGCGCACGTCTCTGGTGCTGCTGTTGCGTCGAGGCCGACAGGTTGTGAGGTCCGGCGTTGGCCGGGTCGAACTGGGGGAAGCGGATGCCGCGGACGGGCCAGAGAGCCTTGACGGCGCCCTTGGCTGCGATCTGGGCCGTCAGGGCGTCGGCGCCGACCGAGTCGGGTGACTCGACGCGGAACGAGACGCCGTTGAAGAGGCGGAACTTGAGATCCATGCTCGGCTTCACCTCGAGGCCATCGGCGCGGAGGTCTTTGAACAGAGACTCGGCATCAGGCGAAGCATCGTCGAGCTCGACAATGTAGGCGCCCGCAATGATGTTGCTGGTGCTCTCGGCATCGGCGGCGGCGGCCGTGGTGCTGGGACCCGGAGTGTCGGCGAGCGCACCCACGGCCGAGGCCAGGGTGCCGAGGAGAAGCGGAGCGCACTGCGAGAAGCGCATCGCGAAAGGTTTCAGGGTGAACGAATGTAGGGCTGAGTGGCCTGGCGGGAGAAACACACCAGGACAGACCTCAAGCTGGGTCCATCGCCTTGTCTTTTATGTATGTTTGAATATGCCCAATGTCCGGAGACCACGGGAGGCCCCATCGCCACAACGCGGGTGTACGGACGCTGGTATCTTGGAGGGTTGTCGAACACGAGGACTTGGCGAGAGACCTTCCCTATAGGGGTAGGACGACCGCTTTCTCTAATGGGGATTCGCGGGCGGACAGGGCCCTCGGCAGGGGTTCGCATGCATGAGCCGACAGCTTCTGGCTCATCGTATCTGCAGCGTGAAGCAACCGCTAAGCAAGGGTTGGCGGTAGTCGGCTGGTCAGGCGACGGCTTTGCAGCGGTAGTCGGTCTCGCTTTCACTGCAACTTGTCCGAGGGGTTTCTCTGCTCTGGAGGAAAGTCTCGCTGGTGAGCGGTGTGGCTATCAAATAGAGTGCCAGATTGGCTATTCCTAGTACTATTGGTGCCAGGGGTATCCCCTGAACACTGCTGCCCTCCTAAATGGAGCTCGAAGACCCGAGTAAAGAGGCTGTCTTTGTCTTGGTCAACCGACTGGGTGAAATGCTGGGAGATCAACCATGCGGACTCGATCCCTTTGCGCCAAGAAGACCCTCCAAGGCGCCCGTATGGAGGGAATCGTCCGCCGAAGCGTAGTCCTACACCATTTCATCTCGGCTTGCGTGCCCTGCCAAGTGGTGCATAAGACGAGTACGGGGTATCATCGCGTGGTCTTCAAGGATGGCATACTGGCGCATGACCCCGGCCATTTACTTGCATGCGAGTCAGGCTTCGGAGCCTTTGGCTGTTGGCTGATGACGGACATTGTGCTGCAGGATTGAGTCGTGATAGCAACCTGAATGTCCTCGAAGGTTACTTTTGCTTGACAGTATACGGGGAACCGGAGGCCGCTCACAGCGCATAGGGTGGCATTGTTTGCCATACTTATCGCCTTACTCCAGGCCGCAGTGCCTGGCCATCTATAGTCTCGGGCGCGTCTCGAGCACAATGACTCGAGCGTTCAACTTTCGCATTTTACAACGGGGACAACGAGTCGGGGCTGCAGCCTGTCAGTCTTTCCACCTGCATTGATTGTATTATGCTCATCTTCGGCGAGGCCAAACTGTCGAGTCCCCAATGAACTCGTCCTTATTGACAATGACAATGTGTTTTGTGTTATGCGATAGCTCTGCTATGCAGGAAACGTCTAAAGACATACGAAATTAACAAACTCTATCGTTTGCATGCCAGAAGAGTTATCATGAATCACTACATTGGCGTAAGCTTATCTTACTATGGACTCTGAACGCTTCCAACAGATGATTTTCGCCTAGAGGGTAGTATAAACAGAGTTGTTGAGAGGTTTCAGTGAATGTCCGGATGCACAGTCGTGGCACAGCCTGCACTTAGCTTGAACGACGGGTCAACCGCGGACTCTACATCGGTGCATCGGATGGCGTGACAGAGTAAATCGACATTGATTCATCGCTCTCGAGAGCTTGGAAGTCCAAAGCCGTGCGTGCCTTGACTGGCGTCTCGAGAGTGCTTCATAAAACATCCCAAATTTGTGGGTGACAGATCGGGTTCTTGTGATTTGATGAACTGTATTCCGACTGTGGCAATGCTTCTTCGATCTTGTCTCTCCCCGGTGCAAACGAATGTATGGGATAAGCGAGGTGGCCGTTCCAGTTTGAAACGAAAGTAAATCAGATGGCACCCGCTCCGTGGCGAACCAAGAATTGAAATACTACAGTGTTCCCAGCTTTCTTGATTGTTTCGACAGGCCAGATGGAAGGCCTGAGATGAATGCACAATTCGCTCCTAAGATCTACATCGTCAATGGTCAGAAGAAGGCATGTCTCTCTTGGAACTCGGGCTCGATCTTGACTGCATACCGTCCAAGTCTTCTGCTCTGAACTGACTCGCAGACTTCGAATTCACCCTTTCAACGCGTCACATCCCGCCGCCATGCGCTGTTTTTGTCGACATGAACCCTCCAACTCGGCCCACCGCCAGCAGCATCCACCGAGGCATTTAACCTCCGAATGAAGCGTGAATGGTTTAGTGGTAAAATTCTCCGTTGCCATCGGGGAGCCCTGGGTT